AAGGCTGAGGTCATGAGGTTTCAGATGGTAATGGGAACTGAGGCCATTCACATGTTATATTCTAGCAAAGAATATATCTATATTTTGTCCATGCCCTGAGAGAGTTTGTGTCAGGCTCAGATTAAAAGTAATTAATCTGGCAGAAGATATTTCAAGGCAGCACAGCATTCAAGCAGTGACATGGATATTACTGGCTAGTTTTAGCAATATTTATTACAAGAAATAGAGCAGAAAGATTAGAAAAACCTGTAACTTGGCCAAAAAAGAAGTGAGAAGTAGCCAAGAAGGGTGCAGTTGTTAAAAACAGTAGCATCATTTAAAAGAAGCCAAGTACTTGGCTCCAGGACAATTGGAAAGATACCTTGAGGGCATTTGGGGAGTCAGCAAAAACCTGCCCTTTGAAGGCTCAAGGGTGTAAAAGTGTAAATCACTTGAAGGACTTTGCTTGAAGAAGAGTTCCAGGGAGCCCAGCTCCCACAGGACCATCTAAAAATGAGCTTCCCTGTGTTCAGCCATCTAGGCACTCCAAGGTCTCTGTAGCCACGGGGCCAGCTAGTGCTGCTACTGGCAGCCGACCTTGATGTTATCTACGACCTTGATGTTATCTATGTTGTGCTGGTTTTGCAGGCATGCAGAATGCAAACGTTACAGGGTCACAGAGGTTTCCACTGAGTTTTCAAAGGAAAGCTTGGCAAGCCAGAAAGTGTGTGGCAGATTCAGAGTTCCTGCAGGCAGGCCCTGGCAGGACATGCATAAAGCTGTAAGAGTGATGACAATGCTGCAATCAAGACTGTAGGAAGTTTAAGATATCAGAAATGTGGAACATGTGGAAAGGAAAGTTGTAGGCAGCAAGTAGAGTCAGTCTAAGAAAAACACCATGTGGGCTGCAGTCAGCAAAGCTGTAGGGGTGGGGCTACCCAAGACCACAGAACTCACATAATGCTACCATATTCCCCAGATGCAGGAGATGGAGCTATATGATTTAATTTTTTCCTTGCTGGGTTTCAGTCTTTCTTTGGTCACATCCTCTTCTTTCCATGCTCCATTCCCCTCTTTTGGAATGAGAATATTTACCCTCTATCTGCCTTACCATTGTATATTAGAAGTATGTAACTTGATTATTATCATTTTTAGAGGTGCTCACAGCTAAGAGTTTGCCTGAAGTCGTGGAGGAGACTTTAGACTTGGACTTTTGAGTAATGTTGGAACTGTTAAGTCTATGAGGACTCTTAGAGATCGACGACTGGTTGTGTTTTGAATTGTGAGATGGACAGGTGAGTAGCCAGGTAGAAGGAGGCCCTAAATTTTAGCACCCCAGGGTAGCCTGTGGAACCCTTGGAGTCCAGGGACAGAATATTATAGTTTGGATTTAAATGTTGGCAAAAGGCTCATGGTTTGAGGTTTGGTCTCAAATGCAGCAGTGTTCCCACGTGGGTCCTTTCAGAGATCACGGGGTCATGAGGGCTTTGACTTCATGAATGGATTAATCCATTTATGGATTCAACACTTAGAGGATTTGGGGAGAGGGGCTTTTGTTATAAAAGCCAGCTCTTTCTCTGCTTCCTGACCATGATAAGGTGAATAGCTTTGCTCCACCACATGCTCTTTATCATGTTGTTTTTTTTTTTCCTTGCCAAGGGCCCAAAATGATGAGGCTAATCAACAGTGGACTGAAACCATTAGCCAAAATAACTATTTTCTTCTTTCAAGATAATTTCTCAGGGGGTTGGGGTTGTAGCTCAGTGGTAGAGCGCTTGCCTTGCATACACAAGTACCTGGGTTCGATCCTCAGCACCACATAAATAAATAAAAAGTTTAAAAAAAGAGATAATTTCTCTGGTGTTTTGTCACAGTAACAGAAAAGGGACTAACACTGACAACTCAAGCTACAAACATGGCAAACATAGCTAACAGAGCTTGAGATTCACTGCTGTGTGTGAGGGATGTATCTTTTGACCCACAGGATCTTCAGCCCAACTCAGGCATCCTTTTGCCTGGAGAGACTAGAATTTATTATAGAGGGATGCAAAGGCAGCAGCTTCTGTGCAGAGAAGTCAGACTATTGTCTCAAGAGATTTTCTCTCAATTCTATTTAGCACATCAGAAGCATAATATGAGGTTGGAAAGAGAAGGATAATAGATTAGCTGATACTTTTAGGTCTTGGGAATGGTGGTAAGAGAGGAAAAGCAAGAGAGGGAGCCACCAGAAAGAATGGGCTGACATGTGTCCTGAAGGAATGAAATGAATGACAAGATGTGGGCAGAAGGGGTTCTGGGCCTAACTCACATGTGGACAGGGGTTCTGTGAAGGCCTTAGACTTCTGCAGAGTAGCCAGGTAGAAGGAGGCCCTAAATTTTAGCATCCCAGGGCAGCCTGTGGTGTTAAGTAAAAGCAAACCACCCACCTCATTTAACAGCAGGTGTAGGTATAGGAGAAAGCCCATTTTATACCTCTTTTCCCTCATTCCAAAGTAGAATGAATCACCCTTATTTAATCAGGACATTTCACATTTGAGTGTGAAAGGGAAACTGCAGTCTTTCTTTTTCCTTTGCAAATTGAGAATCTCACTGCCTTCTGCCGAAAGCACTGCAGTGTGTCTATCTAGTATCTCCCTCTCTATTTCTCATGGAGACAGCTGCTATAATTTGGATCTTAACAGTTCCTCAAAGGTCCATGTGATAAAGACTTGCTCCCAAGAGAGGTGGTCAAGCCTTTAAGAGGCGGGGTCTAGGGAGGGTTTCTTTCTTTTAAAAAAATTTTTAAAAATTTGTTCTTCTTTTAAAATTTTTTATTTGTTCTACTTAGTTGTACATGACAGCAGAATGCATTTCAATTCATTGTACACAAATAGTGCAACATTTCAATTCTCTGGTTGTCCATAGGGCAGAGACACACTATTCGTGCAATCATACATGTACCTAGGGTGATGATATCCATCTCATTCCACCATCTTTTCTATCCTCATAACGCCTCCCCTTTGACCAATCCAAAGCTCCTCCATTCTTCCCATGCCCCTAGGGAGAGTTCTTTAGGTCACTGGGGAAGTACCCTCAAAGATAATTTTGGAACCCTTTTTTTTTTTTTTTTTTGCTTTCCAGCCACAAGGTGAGTGGTTTTGCTTGGCCACACTGCCACACGTTCCCTGCAATTGCAATCACACACCCCAACCAGAAGTCTAAAAAACCTTGTGTCTGCCTAACCAAGGACTGGAACATCCATCTAAAACCATGAGCCAGAATAACACTTCTTTTCTTTTCTTTTTTTTGTAGTTGTAGAGGGAAAGCATGCCTTTATTTTATTTGTCTTTATGTGGTGCTAATAATCAGACCCAGTGCTCATGTGTGCTAGGCAAGCACACTGCCACTGAACTACAGAACCAGCCCCAATGATTTTCTCTATATAAGTTGATTATCTCAGGTATTAAAGTAATGGAAAGCTAATGTATCTTTCTAGAACACAGTGGCTACATGGCTTTGTTGATCCAAAGTATTTTTACATGGCTGGGGGTGTAGCTCAGTGGTAGAACACTTGCCTAGCATGTATAAGACCCTGGGTTTGATCCCCAGCACCACAGAACAAAACATTCTATTAGGTAAGTTTCAAGCATTGAACACTGCTTAAGTGTTGAGCACAGCCTCCCCATGACACACTCACCCTGCTCCTCAGAGAGCTAGGCTCTCTGTGGACACCATGCTTTTTCTTCTCTCTTGCCATAAGCAGTCCTTCCCTTCAAACCAACTCATCACTTGGTTTCTCATCAACCAAGATGCAGCCCTTTCTGGACAGTGTGAGAGCTCCCTCTTTAGGTCTGTTCTTGTCTTCTCCTGCCACACTGGGAGCCCCTCCTCTAGAGGCCAGGGGACATCACTCCAGTCTGCAGAGAACACCCTAGCTCAACCTCACTGCACATTCCCAACATTCCTCAGCCTTCCTTTTTAGCATATTCCTTTCTTCCAAAATGACCTAGTGTTAATCACTTTTTTGATATAATAAGGAAGAAAGGTTTATTCTGGCTCCAGTTCAGAGGTTTAGGTCCATGGTTATCTCCATTGCTTTGGGCCTGAGGTAAGGCAGAACATCATGGTGGAAGGGTAGATGCGGCAGAGGAAAACTGCTCAGCTCATGGCAGCCAGGAAGTGAAAAGAGACTGAGAAAGGGGCCATTAGCTACCAATGGACTAATCCACTAATGAAGTTGGAACCCTCATGATCCAGTCACTTCCCCCAAAGCTCCACCTCAGGACATTGCTGCACTGGGGACAAAGTCTTCAAAACATGATCTTCAGGGGGACCATCTAGATCCAAACTGTAACAGATTTCTTTTCTAGGTCAATCTCAGAATCTTGCTCATTCTTCATTTTGAGGGCCATTTTCATTCCCCAAAATGCAACTCCCCCACACCCACCTTTAAACCACCATGCATTTGAAACTTTCCGAGTCCTGTCATATTCTGCCTTTTATTATGATTTCCTTCCCAGTTATTTCTTCTACTCCCCAAGACTGTAAGCTAAATGGCTCTGAGAGGGTACCTCTCAGGGCTCAATGTCAAGCAGCCGAGATCACACAGGCTCTCAAGAAATGTCTGCAGACTTCCACATTCCAACTTCAACAGGCCTCCTACGAAGAACCCCAAATTAATAAAGGATCCCTGGGTTGGTTCTTCATGGAACCCATTTAACTACATACTTGAAAAAGAATAGGTGCTCAAAATATATGATGCATAAGAAATAATGTAAGAGAAAACAAGGCGAAGCAGTATTTCTACAAGGAAGTGTGGCAGGCCTTTGTAGAAATGACTTGCTCTGAACCCCGCTGTTCCACCAGCTCCGCATCAACCCCCTTACCTGCCCCATCAGTCCTGTCCTGTGTGGCCCCGCCCCTCCCTACCTGTCTCCCACAAGGCTTGGCCCCGCCCCATCTGCCCCACCCTGCCCCGCCCCACCTGCTCCAGCAAGACCCGATCCCGCCCCAACCCTCTCGCTCAACTCGGCCCCGCTCACCTGTATGCCCAGGGTGACACGCTGCGCAGGTTGGTGGGTGGCCGGAAGCGGCGGTCCGCGGGCCTGCCCCCTGCCGGGCAGCTCGCGTTGCGCGCCTGCTCGCGGGGCCCCAGCTGCAGCGTGTGGTGAAAGGCGCTGAGCACGCCCGCTGCCAGCCGCCCATACAGCTGCTCCAGGAGCTCCTCGGGCCGGTCCGCACAGCCCCGCGGCCGCGCCGGGCGCCTGCTCGTCCTCAGCGCGCCCGCCGCCCGGCCTGGTGACAGCGCCAACAGGAAGCCAGCCACGAGCATCCAGACCTGTGGGACAGGCCGCGCTCAGCGCCCGCCGGAGGAGCCCGCCTGCGCCCAGCGCCCCGCGTCAGCGTCCCGCCCGCGGCGTCTGGAGCCCGCGGGCGCCCCGCGCCGCACCGCAGACCGTGAGGCCTTTCCCGAGAATGGGTGCCGCGCGGACCGGCCCCCGAGCGCCTTCCCCGCCCGCCCGCCGCCCGCGGGGTCCCCGGGGCCCCGCCCGGCGCCGGCCCGCGCGCCCCCGACCCCTGCCGCCGCCGCCGCCCCGAGCCCGGGGCCGCGAGGGGGTCGGGTGCGGGGCGCGCGTGCACGTGTGCGTGTGCCTGCCGGGCTGCTGCGCGGCGGGCTGCGAGTGTCTGTGACGCCGCCCGCGCCGCTTACCCCCGGGTGCGCCATCCCCGCGCCAGCCCCCTGCTCCGCGCGCCGCGCCTGCTGGCCAGCGAGGAAGCCCGCCCCGTGCCAGCGACGCTCGGACCCGCCGCCTCGCAGACCCACGCCCCCACGCCGTCATCCGCCCGCCCCCGGCGCCCGGCCCGCGTGGGCTCCCGGCCTGGGACGCTGGGGCCGGCCAGTGGGTCCCGGAACCTGACGCCCTGTCAGACCCCTGCGTCGGCGTCTCCTGGGCACCGAAGGACGCGGACGCAGCCCGGGTTCACAGACACGGAGCGGCGCTGCACCCTTGGCCTCCAGAAATGTCAAACATTTTGTCCCTCGTGAAATGTACTCACCAGTGTTCCCAACATCTCCCCGAAAATGTTTTCACGTTTGTTATGATACGGTGTTATGCAGCGATTCCTTAGCTAAAATAAAATTTAAAAGCCACACAAACTGAGGGCTCCACGCCTCGTGGATTGGGACCCGGCGGCTATATGGCTTCGAGGTGCCCGGTGTCTCAGAGCTGCAGACTGTTGGTTGTGCTGTGTGTCCTGGAGGAGGAGGAGAAGTGGATCTGGCACTGCCCCGTGGACTGGTGCGGTCCTGACTGGCTGAAGAAGGAGGTGGTAACTGGCCTAGAGGTCTCCAGAGCAGACAAGTGAGGCCTACAGAATGAAGTTGTGGGAGGCGAATTCTGGCTCAGGAAAATGATTTCTGTAGGAATTAAAGTAATCCAAGGATAGAATGGGCCACCTGCGAAAAGGATGAACTCAAAACCTAGAGTCTCTTTAGAGCTAATACGGAAGAAACATTAGTTGGAAGAAACATTAGAAATTTTTGAAATATCTATTTTTTATTGCAGTGAGGGGAGTCCGTTTCTCCTTTCTCCTAAACACCCATACAATGATCATGTGCCTCTTTATCATCTCTGAAAGCAAAGAATTATATACTTCCCCATCGGACGGTTTTGGCTGTAGGTGGGCATCACTTGTCTATTATTACAATGTTGGAGATTTCCTACCCCTTGTTAACTAAATTCTAAGTGTCCCAGTCATGTAAAATGAACCTAATATTATGTGAATAAATTGAATATACTCAAACGAAGGAATTATAATTCAAGAACACAAGAAAACTTGCTCATTTGTTCATTGTACAAATCAATGCTCATTGCTTTCTAGGTGTCAGACTAATGAATATAAATATGTTAAAGCTGTTATGCTTCGAAAATAAAAACAAATGATCAATACCAGCTGAAAGCTTTTTGAAAGTGCAAAGGATATAATTTATGACTCCCTCAGTGGTTTGCAGCTTTGTTATTTGACTAAATTGTAAACCATTGGTTAAACTACATTTCAGTTAAGCTGTGTAGAAAAAACACATGCCTTGAATGTTCTGTAACTGAAGAATTTAGTAATCATTTTATTTACTGTGAAAAATTCCTCTGAAATCTCCAGTTTAAGCAATTTACAACTGTTAGTGAGTAAACATTTATTTTGGGTTATAAAATATTTTCTCTGATAGCAGATAAATTGTTCATGTTGTTTGTTTCCTTTCCGGTAAAATGGGAATAAAAGCATTAGTACTCAAATACTGCTTATTTTCTATTTGGAAAAAAACCTGGAAGTCCTTTAAGAGAGAGAGTATCATTACAAGAGTTTCATGGGAATAATCACTATGTCTTATTACAACAGCCTTTCATATTATGGTAACACAGAATATTTTATGTATTTGACAAAATATCTTCCATTGTCTGATAACAAAACAACTTCCTACTTCTTCCTGATTATCTTGGAAGTAGGAAAGAAAATATTAGTCTCCAACAGTTTTCATTTTGTACAAGATCACAAATACTGAAAATGCTTATCCATTTGGTAGAATACAAAATTCATCTGTTAGATTTAACAGTGAAGCAAAGTCTTATAAACAGTTGCAAATGGTTTTGTTCTTTTTTACAGTGAATTCCCCTGAAGTTTTAACGTATTTGTGAAAATGGAAAATGCACGTTAATAATTAGCCCAAATTTAGCTGGCGTGGTGGCCCATGCCTGTAATCCCAGCGGCTTGGGAGGCTGAGGCAGGAGGATTGAGAATTCAAAGCCAGCCTCAGCAACAACAAGGTGCTAAGCAACTCAGAGTGAGACCCTGTCTCTAAATAAAATACAAAATAGTGCTAGGGATGTGGCTCAGTGGTTGAGTGCCCCTGAGTTCATTCTCCATACCTCTCCCCCCAAAAATTAGCCCAAATTTAATAATACAAGTGAAAAGAAAGGGTATAAAATACTCAAAACCAAGCCCATCATCTTCCCTTAGAAACTAAAGAAATTGTAGTGTTCTTCACTGAGGATGTTTCTGTTGGTGTAGTCATGTGGGTTTGATTTTACATCCTCTCATTCTTTTTCCTCCCTGATTTGCTCAGCCAACTCAAAACCAGCACAGCTGCAAGACTCCTTTGCATGGACATGCTGTTGGGGAAAGACATTTAAATCATTCTTAAGCACTAAGCCAATGTGTGATTGGCTATTTCCATACTGACCCTCTTGGGTTACTGGTGTATATATCTACCCAAACTTTTTTCTGTCCTTTAAAGGACTGTCCTCAGAATTTCATGCCTATACTTTTCCTCATTTCTGTCATCTGACTGGTCATCTCTTTAATGATTAATTATTTTATCACCTCTATCTACCATTATTCCTGTTCATTATTCTTGGCACCTTTAACCTGCACACAGATGATTTATCACTCTGGTTTCTAAGTGACTACCTTCAGTCATTTTCTCCCCATCTCCAACTATCAGATCATATGGTCATATCCAAGTTATTATCACCAATAACTGCAACTCCTCCCAACATTTGATTTCAAATCAAATATCCTATTCCTGACACAATCACTTTCTCTTCTTCCTCATTCCTGCAATTCTCTGATTTCATCCAATCTTCTAACCCTACCACTTTTCTCTAAGCATTCCACAACTGAGTTCTTATTTTCTTTCTTGTCTAGATTTCATTGTTCAATACTGTTACTACAGTCTTGCTTAATCCCTTGCTCCTTTTCCCCTCTGCTATACTTGCCTGGAATAATCCAACTCTAAAATCCTGCAATTGAGCTGACTAGATTCAATTCTAATTCATGATCACAAAGTCAGATTAGAATTTGCTATGATTTGGATAAGTATCTCCCCAAGGCCCATGTGTTAAAAGACTTGATTGCCAGCCTGTGGCTTTGTTGGGAGGTGGTGGAACCTTTAAGAGGTGGGGTCTAGTAAGAGGAAGTTAGGGCACTGGGGGTATGTCCTTGAAGGAATTTGAGATGCCATTCTCCTTCTCTTTCTGCATTTGGGCTCCCAGGAAGTGAATAGGTCTCCTCTGCTACATGCTCCCAAAGCAAAAGGGTCCAACAACATGGACTGAAACCTTTGAAACTGTGAACAAAGATGAACTTTTTCCTCCCTTGTAAATCGATTACTTCAGGAATTTGTTGCAGTAACAGAAAGCTAACACAGCATTCACCACAAGTATCCTATTACCTTTCCCAGCTATATTCCCCTTTTCCAAGATCTCCTCATCCTCAAATATCTACTTAAGGATTTCCCTTCTCATACATTCCATTGACACCTATAGGAGCTATTGCTCTCTTTGTATTCAAGCTCATATATCCTGCCTTCTTTTCTGATACATTTGATGAGATTTCTTGACTTCAGTCTTACTCTAGCTACCATCTGATTTTTGTGTTTCCTTTTACATCAAAGTGTCTTTATTCTCTTTCCCAAACTTAATTTCTCATTCTCTCACCCACTCCAATTGAGCATTTATCTCCAATACTTCGTTGCAGTGACATTCAACCAAGACACAATAATAATATAATTAGGGCCAAAGTCAAGTATCTTTGTTTATCGTGTTAGATTTTTCTGTACCTTTTGACATAGTTGACCACTCCTTCATTCCTCTTGATTAATGTTTGTATAGTATATCTTTTTTTATGCTTTCTTTTTCAACTTATCCATATCCTATATTTAAAAATGTGTCTCTTATAAGTAATATAGTTGGGTCTTATTTTTAATAGTTTAATAATCTTTGTCATTTAATTGAAAAATTTATTCTACTTACATTTGCCTTATTTACTAATTAGTAATGTAATTAGCATTTACTATTTATGTAATTACAAATATTACTGGATTTACTATTTTATAATTGCTGCTATGGTTTGGGTATTTCAGTACATCCACCCTTTTACACACACATACACAAGGCTCATGTGTTGAAATCTTGACCTTCAATGTGATGATGATGGTGTGGAAACTGAGGTGGGGCCAAGTGGGAGGACTTCAGGTGAGCAAAGCATGTGCCCTTGGAAGAGGTCATGGAACACTAGCCTCTCTGGCATTCTTCTGGTGACTGTGACGACGTCAACCATGGGGTCCTCATGAGAGCAGAGCAATACTGGTGATTTATCCTTGGATTTCCAAAACTATAAAATAAATAAACCTCTTTATAAGGTTAGCGGCCTCAGATATTTTACTAAGTAAAAATGAACTGATAAAATTACTGATGTAATATAACTACTAATATAATTGATTTAAGTCTTACCACCTTGCTACTTCTTTTCTCTTTGCCCATCTGATTTTGTTCCTTTATTCTTTTTAAAATATTTTTTAAATATAAATATTTTTTAGTTGTAGATGGACATAATACCTTTATTTTATTTTTATTTGGTGCTGAGGATGGAACCTAGCGCCCTGCACATGCTAGGCAAGCATGTCTACTGCTAAGCTACAACCCCAGCCCTGATCCTTTATTCTTTATCTGCTCTTCTCTGGATTAGTCAAGTTTTTTTGTTTTTTTTAAAATTCCTAATTAGCTTCTTTTTTGGTGGTGCTGGAGATTGAACCCAGAGCCTTGTGCATGCAAGGCAAGCACTTTACTGACTGAGCTATATCCCCAGCCCCCCTCATTAGCTTTTTAAAAAAACTAAAATTTTAAAGAGGGGGGAATCTCAAGAAACTTGAAGGGAAATCAGTAGAGGAAAGAGAATAGGAGGAGGGAGGAGAGAAGGGAAGAAGGTGACATTGGTGAATGAAATTGGCCAAATTATATTGTTATATTGTGTGCATGTATGAATATGTAACAACGAATCCCATCATTATATACAACTATAATTCACTATTAAAAATATGGAACAAAAATTTTCTTTTGAAATAATTTCTGACTTATGGAAAAGTAATAAGAATAGTACAAGAGAACTCATATACCCTTCACTCAGATCTGCTAGTTTTTTCCATGATTGTTTTATCATTGTACTTTTTTTTTTTAAGAGAGAAGTTTTTTTAATATTCATTTTTTTTTTTTTTGCGGACACAACATCTTTGTTTGTATGTGGTGCTGAGGATTGAACCCGGGCCGCACGCATGCCAGGCGAGCATGCTACCGCTTGAGCCACATCCCCAGCCCTTATCATTGTACTTTTTTCTGAAGCACTGAGTGATTGGGTTGTAGACATCAGGGTCATGTCCCAAAATACTTCAGTGTGTGTTTCTTGGATCAAAGACATTCACTTATATAATCATACCACTATAATCGAAATTGGAAAGATCTGTAGATACAATACTATCATCTGATAGACAGACCTGTTCACATTTAACCCATTGTTTCTATTA